TGCATGAACACTTCTGATAAACTTCCTAAAGAGATCACTGAAGTAACAGACCCGAATCTGCAGGGCGTCAGCAATGTGCTGTGATCCCTGCCCCTACCCCCAAGCTAAAGAAATATTCACTTGGTACTGAACTTTGTTTTCATAGTTTTGTATTCTTTTTATTAAGGAGCGCTCCTATATTGTAAGTCTTTGGACATCATACAACCTGGATTCACTCCTGGATCTGGAATGGAACCAAGGCTGAGATGACCCAGTGGGCTTGTGCACAGGCCATGCCAGTGGCACTCAGACACCAGGTGCTGCTCGGACTGGCCAGCTCTCCTCCTACTTGGAAGCTTAGCCATCCTGATTTCTGCTTCTTTTCCTTTCCTTTCCTTTCTCTTTTCCTTTAATGTGGTTTCCAGGGAGTTGGCTGGAAATGACCTGAATGAGGGACCAAGCTCCCTGAGACAATGGCCCAGTATTTTTGACGTGGGAGCAGCGTCTGCTGTGACTCAACCCTATACCAGCCCAACATCTCCCTCAGAGTAGCCACTGCGTTTTGTTTCAGGCAGCCCAGCTGTGTTCTGCATGACCGAATTGGACACCTCTCACTTCCTCTGAAAACGGAACTTGGTGTTTGGATGACGTGCAGGCAAGTCGGTTGTGCAAAATAGCACATATCTACCGTTGGTCTCCCACCCCTACCCCCAGGCCTAAAAAAAGCCAAGAAACAGAAAAAAAGCAACACCTGAAAGGAACTGAGCTTCCAACGAGTACAGATTTTGTAAGAGACACAAACGCTGCTTGCAGGACTGGAGAGTGACGTGGTCGCTCCTGAGACCTGCTTGAATCTCAGTTCAACACCTTCCTGACTGTGTGACTCAGGCCAGAAGGTCACTGAAATAGCACTGTGCTCAACTGGCCCAGCAAGGAGCGCTTGCTCTGAGCCCTTTGATCTTCATCTTCTCGGGGACAATGACTTAAGTCTTTGTGAGGCATAACTGGGTGGCACAGGTAGTGTGCAGCACCCAGCAGGGCACCTCCTCCAGGGTGGCAAGAAGAGCTGGCCCTGCCAGAGGGTGGAGCAGCTAAAGCTCATCCCCGCCTTGGAAGTCCCTCCTGCCCACCTCTTCTCCCACCCACAATGCAGGGTGGGTCCCATGGTCCAGGCTTCAGGCCATCTGAGGGGTGGCCAAACCCTCCAAGTAGGAGGGAAGCCCCATCTCCACGTGGGTCACAGAAGTCCCAGCTCCCCAGCTTGACAAGACGCACCCAGGACAGATGTTTGATCTCTGAACCTGCCCATTTCCTTCCTGCTCACAGGCTCGGTGGCTAGACCGTGACACACATCGATGAGCAAATCCTCCAGGAATGATGCTCCTTGGAAGTTCTTGGCTGAGTGAAAATAAGCAAATAGCTGAAAAGATCTACAAGCCACGTGAGGCAGCGTTGTCTGCAGCAGCTGACGGCAGAATTTCTGTGAGGTCAGAGAAGGCACAGGCTCTCCTCACACAGGTCTGGTTTGCCTGAAGGTGGTGGAAGATAAACAAGCAGTGGGCACAGTGTGAAAAGTCAGAGGCCTGCAGCCTGAGAACTGGGACATCACTGACGCTCTCTGGGCCTCCCTTTCCTGTCTGGGGGCGACTTTAACGCCCACCTCAGAGAGGTGTTTGGAGGATTAAAGGAACACGACTTAGCATAGTACCTGGCATATAGTAGGTGCTTAGTGCGTATTCATGCCCCCCCCCCTTCCTTCTGAGCCCCTTCCCCTACCTCTGGCTGCACTGTCTCTGGGATGACAGTACTCACCTCTGGGACCCGCCAGCACTCCAGGCTTCAGTCTCCCTGCCCATCTTGTTCAGCAGCCACAGAGGCCTGTGGATGTTCCTGCCTTTGCATCTTGCTTCCCTGCTTCTTCCCCAAATGTGCTGCAGTGCCAGGTCCCTTATCTCTGGTCTGCATTCCAGCAGCCACTTCTCACCTGCCTTAGGGTGGTTCCGTGCTCTGAGGCAGGATGCTATTCTGCCAATCCATGGACTTTGTCTACTTTGGTTACATGCCTGCCCTCCTTCCCCTTCCACTGGGACCTCCCCTAGGGTCCTTCTCAGCTCCCTTCTGCAGACCTTGCATGCGGTCAGGTCCACGACAAGGACCACCGAGAGTGTCCCCAGCTGAAGGATCCAGCCTCTCCCCACCTGCCCATCAGACACGGAGGGTCCAGGAATTGCCATCCTCCCAGGAAAGGCCAAGAGTCAGAAAGATCAGCTAAGCCCCAGGCCCACCCCAGGCCACCTCCTCATAAGGCGGAAGTCACAGCTTTCGGAGTTCCGCTCCTAGGACATCCTGTGGAAAGAACCAGAGTTCTGTCTTCCAGGGCTTCGTGTGAGACCTCGGGTGGAGTGGGGTCACCACCATCCTCGGCCCCGGCCTCTCCCCCACACCCCCTCTGCTTCGAGATGGCCAGGAACCCAGTCAGTACATCTTGTGGCACTCCAGGCTATCATCAGGTTGGGTTTGCAGCTGAAGCCTCAGGTTTGCCATCCTGGAGTGCCTTCCGAATCTGCCTGAGTGATACCTTCTTCTGGTTTTGAAGTTTCTGCCAAGGAGGAATGTTGCTGGAATGCAGCCTCTACTGACACCTGGGCTGCTGGTCCTCAGCTGTGAGGCTGACCCAGCTGGCTCACCCATCGGATGCTGCGGCTTGCCAGGTACGGACCAGGGGCCCTCTGGTGAACCAGCCACACTCTCCCAATGAGCATGTCTCCAAGACAGGCAGCCCAGTTAAGGACACAGTCTGTGGCTAGAATGATTACAACAACAACAAAAATGAACAATGGTAGCTAGTCTCTTAAAGCATGTCCCATAGACTAGGCTCTGAGCCAATCACAACCCATGCAGGGTCTAATCTCATCATCTCAGACAACCCAATCAGATATTAATATCCCCATTTTACAGATGAGAAAACTGAGGTCCTAAAATTGGGAAAACTTGGGAATTCCCTGTTGGTCCAGTGGTTAGGACTCTGCACTTTCACTGCCGTGGGCCCAGGTTCCATCCCTGGTCAGGGAACTAAGGTCCCACAAGCCGTGTGGCACGGCCAAAAAAAAAAAAAAAAATGGGGGGGGAAACTTGCCCAAGGCCACACAGGGGTGGAGCCAGTGTGCCTGGCAGCCCAGAGCCTGCTCTAACCACTGTGCTTGGTTGCCTCATGGAAATGGAGTGAGACTGATTCTGAGCCCACACAGAGGTTTGGGACACAGGTTTAATCAGCACAAATGACTGAGTGTGTTTGAGCAATGCTGCCAGCGACCAGCAGAGGGATTCCCCTCCACCAGGGCCCCAGGTGGAAAAACAAAGGGGAGGGAATGGACCACTCCTTGCCTCCCCCTCCCAGCCTCCCCATTCCAACCCATTTTCCTCTCCCACATGTTTTCCAACCACCCTCCCATCATCTCCCAAAATCTACCAGGAATGAGGAGAGAGATATTTGAGCATCTACAGCATGTCAGTTTCTCTTCAAAACACATCTATTCCTCATCCAGCCCTTTGAGGGTGGGTATCATTCTTCCCATTTTATAGATGGAGAAGCTGAGGCTCTGAGAAGGCAAGTGCCTTGCTCAAGATCACTTTGATGTCCGAACTGGGCTTGAGACAAAGCTAATCTGATCTAGAGCCTGAGCTTGGTAGACCACACCAGGAAAAAAAGAGACTCCCTCAGAAGTAGCAGAAACAACTTCAGAAGTTTGGAGAGCAGGGCGAAGCCTGACTGAGAAGGAGGGGACGGCCAAGGAGAGATGTGACCTCCCCTGCTCATGTCAGCTCATCAGCTCCCTGCCGAAAAGGAGGACACCGGTCCTCCAGCACCAGGCGTCTGTTTGCAGGCTAAGCCACCCGTCGCCACCTCCCCCGTGATACACCTTGCACAAGGCATAGGGAAGCAACAGACCAAGGGGCTAGACTTCTGAATGCTGCCTCCCATAGGCTGCTCATTAAGCCAGGGGACGCTCAACCTCCTAGGGCCTTGGATTGTACTCAGCCGTCCACCAGGCTCCCTAGCGGCTCACCCAGCAGGCCAGAGGTTCCCATGCCAAGGAGCTGGGTTGGGCTCTGTGACTTCCTTTTAGGAAGATGCCTTCCTTGGGGCCCCCCACACCACAGGCACTGATGTATTGGCCTTGCCGCCTCTCACTGTAAAAACAGAGGTGGGCAGGGGCAGACCTACTGCACAGGGCTTGAGAAACTTCAAGGAAGCGCACTTAGCCATGGAGCCAGGTGGCCATGGGTGAAATCCCACACCTCCTCTCATCCATCGGGTGACCCTGGGCAAGCTCCCCAGGCCTCGCTAAGCCTCAGCGTTCACGTTGGAAAAAGGCATCAATAATACCCATCCATAGTTTTGGTTGAATCAGGAAATTTACATAAGCATCTATCCCAATGCCTGGCACAAAGTAGGGACCCTTTAAGTTAAAGCCTTTAATTTTTATTATAATACTAAATGTCTTCAAGGTTCATGCCATTGGAAAGAAGAGAACCTGAATAATCCCAAATGATAGAGCAACAAAAGCCACTGACTGAAATGTTCTCTGTGACTAAGAACCAAAGGATAGTTATTTAGTCTGGAAGTAAGAAGACGGTGATGTGAGGAGAGGAGCCACAACAGGCCCATCTCAGGTACTGTTCTTGTGCCATAGTGTGTGTATGTGTTTGTGTGACTGAGACAGAAGGGGAGGGGACACACATTCAATAGACTAAAATTTAGCCCCCACCCTCAAGCCATTTGCACAGAACTGGAATACAAAGAAAAAAAAAGGTGTTAAAATTGACATCCACGAGACAGAAGTGCTGTAGGGATACAGAGAAGGGAGAGTTCACGTCCCACTCAGGTGGGGTCCTGGGTGATTTGCCATGTGTGCTGGATGAGTTGCTCTTTGAAGAGACTTTGGAGATTGGATAGGGTTTCAACAGGTGGCAGTGGGGGTGGGGGGAGGGGCCAAAGAGGATTGCTGAGAAAACACGGAACAGGGGAAAACAGAGTGTGCTCAGTGAATCTCAGGTAATACAGGAAAAATACCTAATATCAAAATATTCTTACTAGTTACCTCTGTGTGGTGGAATTGATTTTTATTTATTTATTTTTGTACCTTTTGGAATACTCTAAAATCTCTATCGTAAGCATGGATGATTTTCATCTTCAAGAAAAAAATCGTTTTAAAATTCAGCATCAATAACAAAATCAGCAAAAAGACAGATCCTTTGAGGCTACAGGTAAGGAAGTGAGAATTTTTGAAATTCCAGGAAAGGTGGCAATGGAGAAGGGGGCTGGTGTCCTACTGGGACCCCAACTTCAGCACTACTGACATTTCCGGCTGGATCACTCTCTGTCCTGTGCTGGTGGCATCCTGGACTCTACCCACTAGATGTTCCCTGCCTTTCCTCCTGCCCCAGATGTAACAACCAAAAATGTCTCCAGACATTTGCCAAATATCCCCAAGGGGCAAAATGGCCCTGGGTGAGAGCCCTCACTTTAAGCCCTGGAATCCTGAACATGAAGGACAAGTCATCCTTCCATAGTTCCCCACAGGAACAAGGAGTGGGATCTCCTTCACTGTGTCTTTCTCTCCTGAAATGCTTCCTTCTTTCATCAGTCCCACCCCAGACCAGGAGGCAGAAAGCCTGAACTGAGGTCTCAAGTCTTAACACCACCTGGCTACACGACCTTGGGTGAGTTGAGTGGCCACTCTGTGCCTCAGTTTGCTTATCTGTGAAATGGGTACTCTAGATGAGCTCTAAGATTCTAGGAGCCCCTGTGTCAATGCCCCTCCCCTTTACTTTGTAAGTGAAGAAAATGACATTTGGAAATGTCGTTTTGCTCAAGGTCACACACCTAACCACTGGCAAGGCCGTTACTAAAACGCAGCTCCCCTGATTTCTGCATGTGCCCCCTTCCTCCTCATACTCTTCCTTCCGTGCCCTCCGTGGATTAGAAGCATTGCTTCCTTGCGCCAAAGATAAGAAAAATGGAGAGTGACTGGGCCAGCTCACGTACGTGTTCCATTAAGTGAGCAAGGCCACAGAGAAACCTGCACTCCTCAGTGCCAGTGACGTGACTTTCCGAATGAGCCAATGCTGCTTGCAGAAACACAGGGCTAATTGGCTCTTTCGAGGCAGCGGAGAATCTCGGGGTGATGCATTGTGCGCTATTCAATGGCGAGTTGCTGTGACAGGGGGCTGCAAATGCCACTCTGGGGATGTGTTAATGAAGGCTCAGCATGCACAACACAAGAGGCAATTATTCTGCTCGCCCTGGCACTGGCTCCTCCTGGAAGGAGAGCTGCTGACAGGGTTGGAAGGAGCTCAGTGGAAAGTTCACCGAGAAAGCCAGATGGAGAAAGAACAGGACTTGCTGTCTGGACCAGCCATCGGCAAACAGATGGTGCGCTTGTCCATCTGTGCTGCCCTTCTCCTGGAGGACATGAGGAGGAGGTGGCTCGGTGGGAGAAGAAAGGAGACTCAGCTGGTGGAGGGAAAGAGATCTGGGCTGCTTCCGGCCGCCTAGAAGCCTCCATCTCTGATAATAACTCTACAGCCTCTGGAGCTGCCTTCCCTCCTGGCCTGGAGATGCCATCCAGATGCCATCACATGGCCAAGCAGGTGAGTCAAGAGAGGAGGGAGCGAAGGCAGATCAGTCTGCAGACGGGTTGCATGGCGTTCACCTGCGGGGCAGACCCAGCTTCTTTCTCCCAGGCTCATGCAGGGGAAGGCTGTCCAGCAAAGAGGCTCTTCAAGGTGCTGGGAAGGGGAGTTTGTCACCTTCCTCTCCTGCTTGGGACCAGCCCTATTAGTGGAATTGTCCTGGCAAATGTGGTCCCCACCCCACACGGGTGGAGTCAGTTTAAAAATAACTGAGGGCAGTCGTGAAGGCCAGTCGAGTTGTCAGGGCTCAGGGTAAGTGGGTCCCACACATTTCCCAGGGCGATTTTGGGGACAGGGGCAGGTTTTGGAGTCTGAGGAGGGGCAGATGAGTCCCAGGTCTTAGCAACATCCTCCCCCTACCCTACCTGCTGGCATTTCCAGGACGAGAGGGATCGTTCTGCTCCACCGTGTCCCAAAGACCACCTGCTGCTGCCTCAGTGAGTCAGGAAGCCCTGCCTGGCTTGTCGTGTGTCACTTGGCATCATTCATATGCCTCGCTTCTCTATTTCTAAGTGTGCTTCAGAAGATGGCTACAGCACGTAACACTGCCACCCAGGAAATTACCAGCCCAAACTCGAGGGAAGCATCATCCCAGGCTAGTGAGCTGGTTGGAAGAGCAGTGCAGAGAGTGTGGGCAGGTCAACATGAGGTTTGCCGAAAGGGTCAGAAAGGAGCCTTCTGGGGGCAGCAGCTTCTCAATGATGGAGGGATTAGGGAAGTTGGAAGCTGAGGTGTCCTCGGGATAAGTGAGCCACCGTCCTGGCAAGAACTTGGGCTGAAATAATAGAAACACCAGCCCAGCCCTCCTGAGGACTCTCCTGTGGGCCTGGACAGCTCAGGCCTGGGGCTGGAAAGCTAACTGGTTAGGCTGTAACTAACAGGCAGAGGGAGAGGACAGCCAGCAGGGCCTGGGAGCCTCTGAAGGACGCCCTTGCTCACTGAAGCAACTCCAAACACCTTAGTGCCTCATGCACTGCCACTCGGGGCCCCCTTACCTCGGGGCCTCCACTAAGTGGGCAGGCAGCACAGTGCCAGGGGGTTCACACTGCGTGCATCAGAACCATCTGGAGAGATTGTCAAAATCACAGCTTCTGGGCCCCATTTATTCCCTGAGGTTCTGATCCCACAAACCAGGACAGGACCCAAGACTCTGCCTTTTTATCAGGCAACCTGGGAAATCCCCAGGCAGGTGGTTTCTAGACTCCACTGTGAGAACTCTGGGTTCAGGGCTTAAGAGCTCAGGTTCTGAAGCCAGACCAGAGCTCAAATCCCAGCTCTGCCACTCACCAGCTATAAGACCTCTGAGCCGCGGTGTCACCACCTATAGAGAAGGAAGGCCTGGAATGATGACAACACCGTCCTCGTGCAGTGAGGATTAAATGAGGTGATTGGTGTAAAGGCCCAACAGACGCCTGGAAGGCAGTGAGCACGCGTTAGCTCCTATTGCTGGTGACTCCCAGCTCTTCTCTGCTTCTCTCCCCACCATACACACAGGTGCTCAAGACACAATGACAGATGTTTGTGACTCTGACTCAAAGCCGTCCTGTTCTTTAGGGGAAATGATGCCAGGGCTTTGGAGGGTGACCTCTCCCCTGTTTGGAAAGCTAAGCCTCTTTGCCATCCCTGAGGGTGGACCCCATTTTTCTACTCCAAAGATGAATTAAAATCTTAGGTTTGGCCATTTCCGTGTGGAGCAAAGAGATAAAAGACTCTCTCCTAGCGCCTCCACCCAGCCAGAGCTGTGCTGGAAAAGCCTCTCTGACAGCTTGATGTCTTTTTTGGCTTCAAAAAGAAAACAGAAGTCAGCTTGTGAATAGTACCACCACTGCACTTGGAACCCAAGGGAGTGGGCAGGGCCAGACTGAGCAGACGCTGGTGCAGGAGCCCTGGGAGGAGGCTGAGGCTCTCCACATGGAGACTGTTGGCAGCTGAGCCCTCTCCAAGCCCTGGCCTTTAGGGCTGGGCTGCCTTCAGATGGATGTGCCCGCACCCCAGGGCACAGCCCAGGCCTCCTCTGCTGGGCTCCCTCCTCTCTGGCTGCTCCTTGCCTCCTGCCTCAAGAGCCCATGTTCTGGGCTCTTCTTTCCCTCTTAGGCCACTCACTCTTTGATAACCATGAACCTGGATCCAGAGGCAGCAGCTTGTGCACACCCCAGGGCTCCTTGGTCTTCCCCAGGGGCCAGGCCTGGCAGAGCTCAGCAGACCGAGGGCTCCGAAGCTGGTAGCCCTAGAAGTGGACCATTCCCTCAAGGATCAAGACATCAGGAGAGGCCACTGGACAGGGCAGGGGTCAAAGCAACCCAGGAAGGGATATCTGCTTACGAAGCTGCTCAGAATTACTATTTGGAAGCCAGACCTGCCAAGTTTTCTCAAAAGCCTCCCTCACCTTTCTCCCATGGGTCTATCCAGTCGAGTCTGAACTGTAAGACCTGGACATAGTTACAGAAGTTGACGAGCCTGCAGCTTAAAAGCAACCATCCCATCTGATGCCTGAAATTGTACCATTGGAGCTCTTCACCTCTCATAGGCTTTGGACACCATCTACCTCCACATGATAACACTGTAAACCCTTACTAGGGGGTGTGATGACACCTGTATGCCTTGCATACAATAAGCACTTTATAGCTGATAGATAATAGCAGAAGCAGTGAGTGGCAGTTATCATCGTTTTAACGCTTAATATCACCCAACTTCCAGTTCTTTGCAAAGGGTATTTTTGAAAAGAGGCAAAAGAAGAGAGCACTGGGCGTCTGCAAGAGAGAAGGAAAGGGCTCCTTAAAGTCTGCCGCAGAGCCTGCTAAACTGCATGGCCTCAGACAAGCCAGCCAAACACTCTGTGCCTCAGTTTGAAGATAAAACAAGGTCAGAGCTTTCTACGGGGTTTGGAGCCATATTTACAGAATGGCAAGGGGGTCTGATGCATAACAACTTCTGTTGGTTGTCAGCACCCCGATTCTGCCATTGTCTCCACAGCCTATGGACACCAAGGAATGCTGTGCATGAACACTAACTGATCTCCAGCTACACACGGCGGGCAGGGAGGCTCTGTCCAGATTCTATGTCCCGCTAGCTTACAAGTCCCACCTCCTGCCAATGGCTGACGTCACACTCCACCTGCTGAGCTGGAAGAGAAACCGCAGAGGGAGGCATCTCACGGGCAGTGAGGTGGGTGGTTAAGAGCACAGGCTCTGGGGTCAGGTTTCAACTCCACCACTTACCAGTGGTGCGACCTTGGGCAAGTTCCTTACCATCTCTGAACCTCAGTTTCCTCCTCTGTAAAATGGGGACCCAAGCTGGGCTGGGGTGGAATTCACCCAGAGCCTGCCTGGAAAGCGCTTAGCTCAGACCTGACATGGTGGGAGGAAAAACCTTAATGTTTGTTGCCGCCCCATCTGCCTCCTCTCTCCTGTCTCCAGTTTCACGTTTTATTTATTCCTTTATGGGAAGAGAGAGGAGACCACTTCTAAAAGACATTCAGGAAAAGAGACTCGATTTCTCAGCGTTTCATGGAGCACACTGAGAGGCTCCTGGGAGCAGGAAGCAATGAGGGTGTCTCTCCTTCAAAGGCTGTCCTTGGTGACCTCTTTTCTTGTCCCCGAGGGAGGACCCTAGGGTAGTGGCATGACGCCTGTGTCATCACTGGTCCTGCAGAGCTGAGTATTCTTCCCGACCCTGGGCTGACTCACATCCACAGGCAGGAGCTGTGCCCCGGAGACAGCTGCCCTTTCAGAGAAAAGCCCCTCCTGGTGTGGGGAAAGGGGAAATAGAAACTCACTGACCTTTACTTAGAAACTCCCTGTCTACTGTGTCATTAGTTATTTCATGTCTCTCTCCCCTCTGGGCTCCTGAGGCCCCCCTTGCTCACCCTCTTAGTGCTCAGGACAGTGGTTACTCCAGTCAGTGTATGTTGGAAAAAGTAAATGGACTGATGGATCAATAAATGAATGCGTGGAGGGAGAATTATGGTGCCACCCTTGCCCTGAGCAACTCACAGCCCAGCTGAGAGGTTGAGATACACCCAAAACAGTTTGCAAGTGCAGAAAACAATCTTTGCTTAAACATCACATTGAAGGTGCAATTTGTAGAGTCCAGTGCTCTGGGGAGGCCAGTGAGAATGAGCCTCACAGACCTCCAGCTATGGAAAGTGTACTTAGCTGGGGGCTCCAGCTGCTGTGTTCTGAAATGCATCACTGCTGAGGCCACGCTTCCTGCAGGCTGCACTCAGCCAGAGACAGGGCGGCAGGGGTGCAGCGCAGGCCGTTCCTGGGAGACGATGGACTCCTGTGACTGCTAGCTTTGGCCAAGGACACCCAACAGCCTTGCCAGGTTTTCCTTAAATAGTCAGGGTTGCTTTCACCCAACCTCCCTTCCCTTTATCCTTCACTCGGAGTAAGACTTGCATTGAGGTTGGACTGACTTCTTACCGAACAAAAGAAAGAGCAGACTCCTCTCTCCTCCGCAGCACCAGAATGCCTTGTGCTGCCTGTGTTCTAGAAGCCATTACACTTTACTGCTACAGAAATAGTTACTCATTTATGTCTGCTGTTTGCTTCTTGGAGGAGGTCTTATTTTGGAGACCCCCAAAATCCGGTTAATAGTGTCCAAAGAAGAAATTAATGGAATGAACACACCCATGGCTGAGGGACAAGCTGGCCATGAGGATATGGCTCAGTTAGTTACCACAACTGAGAGGTGGCTCCTGGTGAAGGGTGGGGATAAGCATGTGTAGTTTGTACAACACTCAGAGAAAGATCTGGCTGCATCCTGGCACCATGGTCAGCTCCTTTCTTTCCAGCTACGTTCTGTGGTCTCACAAGGAACTTCTATCTGAGGCTATCTCATAGGTTTCAAAGTCCTGCCACACACATGATTTTGTGGGAGCCACTCAACTCTGTGGCATGGAGAGCTTAACTATTATTCCCAATTTTACAGCCTGTAGTTTTAGCCTGCCCTCATCCAGCACTTCTGCTGGTGACAGCGCCTTGATTTTGCTTTGAGGAATACCCCCTCTCCATTGGATTGTCTTGTGGGACTGTCCACCAAAGTGCCCCACCCTTTCCTGGCCAATGGATGTTCACATGATTTGATAAGGCCACTCAGACACTCTTCCTAAAATTTGACTCTTGCATGAAGAGATACCATAATTAAAAACAGTTGGGGCTTATGCTATGATCCAGCAATTCCGCTGCCCTCTTGTGTCTGATCCCTGGAGATCAGACAGGGATCTTCCTGTCCCTTCAACCAGTAGAACCTAGTTTCTGAAGATTCTCTATGCTAAGAAGTAGGAAAGGGGTGGGCCCCAGGGAGGAAACCCCCCCAGTCCCATAGAGGGACAGTCAGGAGACTATCATTCTCAGCTAGAGACCCCAACCATGGCAGGGTCACCTAGGCTGTCTGTACCCCGATGTCTTGGTCATTCCACATTTACTAAGCTCTTGCCAAGAACAGCAAGATGAGCAGAACATGGTTCCACCCTCCAGGAGTTCTGCAGGGATGTCCCTGGTGCCCGTCCCACACCCCTCACCCCCCTGGGCTGCTTTCAGCCACAGGTGCATTGGACAGTACCTGGCAAGCCCAACAGCATCACAGCTTGCCTCCCTACTGCCTGCCCCAGGGCTCTCTCCCACCTGCGGGCACCTGCTGGGTCTGCAAGACAGGGTAGGCTGGCAATGAGCAGAATTTCATTCCCCCAGAGTAACTAACCACCAGTGGAGGATGGAGCCAGTGGGTAAATGCAGGGCCTCCTTCCCCGGGGCGGACAGTTCTGGCTGGCCTTCTGAAGACATCTCAGGTGGTTCCAGGGAGCTGAGCCCCCAGTTCCCACAGAGGACCACCTTGATCACACACCCCCTCCTTCCCATGCCCCTTTCCCCATCCCTTACCCCCAGGATCACCTTCGGCTAAATTACCTGCACCCAAGTCCTTACTTAGGCTCGATTTGGGTGGAAACTAAGGTAGGCTCCTCATGTGTTATCCAGGTGATGGATCCTGAAATCAAGATTGAAGTGGGGTGCGGCGAAGCGCGAGGACGAAGCACCAGCTGCCTGGGGACAGGAAATGTCACCCAGTGGTGGTGACATTTGGTTTGAGGGTTGAAGGATGAGAAAGAGTTGGTCAGCAGACACTGGCTAGAAAGCTTTCTTCCAGACAGGGGGGCAGCCCACACAGAGGCCCAGATGCGAGAGGGAACATGAGACACCTTGGAAAATTTCAACCCGCTGGAGTCCAGGGTGCCAGTGAGGGGGTTGTGCAGCACAGAGTGGGGGGAGGGTCCACCGTGGTAATGGACGAGAAGCACACATGTAACAACCACAGGTACGTGAGGGCCTACAGCCAGGTCTTTCCAGTCCACTGGGGCCCCCAGAGCTGGCAGGAGAGGCCAGTGGACTGGGGCTGGCAGCTGGCTGTACGCTGGATCCTGTAGCCGGGACACAGGGCAGCCTCCCTGACTTCCAGCAGCGAAGAGGAGGGTGGAGAAGGGCACGACTTGAACGCCGGGGCAGCTTCACTCTGCAAAGCTCTTGTGGGCAATCACCCCGAGGCCCTTTCCCAGCAACGCCCTCCAGCAGCTCAGGCCTCTTCCTTCATCCCCTCCCCAGCCAGATGGGCCCAGATGGCCAGCCTCCCACACCTGCCACCTGCCAACTCACCACTACAGAAGGCTCCTTGGAAGGTACCCCCTCCCTTAAAAGGAGCAGCCTACAGTGCTCTTCTTCCTCAAAGGATATCTGACCTGATGCTTAGCCCTGTTTCGTGATGTTTGTATGGTTTTTAAGATAACACAGAGGGGCCTAGTAGGGTTTTAGATTGCCTTTTTGTATTCTTATAAGAAACTGCTTAAAAGATGCTCAACATCTGATGATTATCAGGAAAATGCAAATTAAAACCACAATGAGGCATCACCTCACACCTGTCAGAATGGCCGTCATCAAAAAGAACACAAATAACAAATGATGGCGAGGATGTGGAGAAAAGGGAACCCTCCTACAATGTTGGCGGAAGTGTAAACTGGTGCAGCCACTGTAGAAAAAAAGTATGGAGGTTTCTCAGAAAACTATAAATAGAACTACCATATGACCCAGCAATTCCACCCCTGGTTACCTATCTGAAAAAAACAAGAACACTAATTTGAAAAGATACATGCACTTCCGTGTTCATAGTAACCTTATTTACAATTGCCAAGATATGGAAGCAAACTGAATGGCCATCAACAGATGTGGCACGTATATACAATGGAATACTACTCAGCCATAAAAAGAACGAAATTTTGCCATTTGCAGAGACATGGACGGACTTGGAGGGCATTATGCTAAAAGAAATAAGTCAGACAGAGAAAGACAAATATTGTATGATATCACTTACATGTGGAATCTAAAAAATACTACAAACTAGTGAATATAACAAAAAAAGAAGCAGACTCACGGATACAGAGAACAAACTAGTAGTTACTGGTGGGGGGGAGGGGCAATACAAGGATAGAGCAGTAAGAGGTACAAACTATTAGGTATAAAATAATTTACAAGGAGGGAATTTCCTGGCAGTCCAGGGGTTAGGACTCTGAGCTTCCACTGCAGGGGGGATGGGTTCGATCCCTGGTCGGGGAACTAAGATCCTGCATGCTTCGAGGCATGGCCCAAAGAAAAAATCTGTAAGGATATATTGTAAACAGGGAATATAGCCAATATTTTGTAATAACTATAAATGGAGTACAACCTTTAAAAATTGTGAATCACTATATTGTATACCTGTAACTTATGTAATATTGTACAGCAACTATACTTCAATTTAAACAAACAAACAAACAAACTGCTTTATGGGGGCTTGCTATCTGGAGACGTCACCTGGCTTGATCTTTCACGGACAGATAGGGATCGGCCACGGAGCTCAGGAAGGACGGAGGGAGCTGCAGGCCTCTGCTTCCCACCCACACCAACCCAGAGCTGGGACACAGGGTCTACCATTGTGGGGAGTCCTCATGTAGGTCCGCCCGCAGCTTCCGTGGGAGCTGGTGTTTCCTCTGCTCTAGACCCTACAGGCTGCCTGTGGCCCAAGGGCCCCAGCCTGACAGATCTGCACACGGACAGCCTCTCCCTGGAGCGAGAGCACAGACGATCGCCCCAGCACAGCAGCTATAACTTCCATTTAGCATTTAGTCTAAGCCAGGC